CTGAAAAATATGCCAAGAACAGGATTTGACAGATTTACCACAAGGCCATCCAGGAATGTGGGCTCCCATGCTCACGTATTTAAATTAAAGTGGGGTTTTTCAATAACTGTCTTAGTCTGTTCAGGCTGCTGTAACAAAATACCATGAAGCAGATAGTTTCTAAACAATTAGCATTTATTTCTCACAGTTCTGGAGGCTGAGAAGTCCAAGATCAAGGAACCAGCAGATTTGGTGTCTGGTGAGAGTCTGTTCCCTGTTGCACTCTCATATGGTGGAAGGTGGGGGTGGCTCGCTAGCTCTCTGAGTCTCTTCTTATGTGCCTTATGCCCTCACTGCCCAAAAACACCCTTTTGGGTTAGAATTGCAGCATATGAATTTGGGGGGTAGAAGCATTCAGACTCTAATAATACAGGGCATTCGTCTCGAAGTTCCTATATTTCTGATGCACTCTGCCATGGAACCGCAGAAACCACGGCCACTTTAATTGCATTAGGGAGCTCCCTTAGGAATAAACTTATTTCACCATCAGATTCACCAGAAGAGAAGTGATATGAGGTGAGGTTAGACGGTTCTCCTTCAGGCAAACAAAAATATTGATTTTTTTCCCCCTGAAAACACTCTTTTCCTTTAACTCATTGAACTATTAGGAGAGAACAAAAAGAGAACTGACCACTTTGCCAATCCCCAAGTCTTCACTGAATGACTCTTTAGAAGGACTTTGTTGTCATGGTCCCAGACGGTGTTTTTATTTGTCTCTTTGTCTTTCAGAGTGGTGGGTTCAGACAGTGGAAAGTGAAGAACTGTCTCCAGAATATCTCCTCTGAACAGAAACAAGAGACCAGGTTGCTGCAAGGCCACAGCCTCTTATTGACAGGTTTAGCTAAGATGGAAATCATTTATTCCTGGAAACTGAGGTGACGGAAAGACCCATCTCATTCTAAGCTAGGGATGGAGTATCTTGACCTCACTCTGCTAATCTGCCCTATCTTCAAACTGTGGTCTTCCTGTGTGGTCTTCGGCCAATCACTTGGCCTCCACAAAGCTCCATCAACTCATCTGTAAAATGAAGATAAAAATAACCACCCTCAAGGCTACTGTATTTGAAAAAACAGGCAATGTATTTTGCACTCAAGAAATATTTATTCCGAGTCCCCATCCCCCTTTTCTTCATACTTGCTGCATACTCCAAAACCAGTATTTCCAAACACTTCTCTCTGCTCCACAAAAGCTGTGTCTGTAAAATCTTTCAGTGTCCTTCTTCCACCTGTAATGCCCTCCTTGAGAACAGGGACTCCCCACATAGTCTCTTGGTTGTGGCAGGTGAATTCTATGGAAAGGCTCCAGAATGCATGGAGCATATCAAAAAGGAGGCTTTAAGAACATGAAAATAACACCGAGTATATATAGCACACACACTCATTATAATGGAGAACTTAGAAACTGAGTGCCATCTCAAGATAGAGCACAGGGTCCTTGTATATTTCACACCAAGAAGGAGAGGAAGTCTTAGAAAGTACATCAAGGCAGACTTGTGCTAGAACAAGTTCAGGGAGATGTCAAGGACTTTCGGAATCTCTGGGCTCTTTCATCTCCTACAAATGGACCTCCAGTGGCCTCATCCACTGAGCCCCAGATTGGACTCCAGAGAGAGAGGCTATACAAGGGATGAAGAATCTTGAAGGGACTCTGCCAATTCTACCAACCAGTCACTTCATCAAGACTGTGCTGGGTTTGAAATACGGATCTCGTTGTCATGTTACACATGGTACTCAAGTATTTGCAGAATACATGAATGACACAGTATGTAATGGGCTTAAATGTAACCAACTCTTTCATGTTCAAAGATAATCAGCCAACCACAATTGTGACGCTGATATTACAAGTATCACTATTTTGGTAATTCCCTGAAGATTTTTGAATACTACATGTCTAATGGGAAGAAGGGGTAATTGTGAACGTAAAAGACTCTTACAAGGGAAAGGTGATTCTTAAGACATACTTTGCATAAATAATGCTTTTCTTTCTTGGTTGCAAACAATAGAAACGGGCTCTGATTATTTCAAGCAGAAAAGGAACTGATTGGAAGGGTGCAATCACAGTAGTATGCAGCAAAATTCTGCTTAGGAGGTTGCCAATAGCACTCTTGCCCCAGTCACTATCACACCACCAGACCTGAACATATACAGGACCTCTGACTGATCCTGCAACTTTGTCTCATGCTGTTAAGACTCACAATCCTGAGTGCAAGCATCAGTCTGACCACCTCACAGATTTTGGTCCCTGTTTCTGGCTGCAGGGGCAGGTGACTTCCCACTTGCTATTCTACTTCCATAAAGAGGGATATTTATTGCACTCCATTCTGCTTGGCATGAAGCAAAATAGGAAGGATGTTCTGACACTAAGAAGCCAAAACAACAAATGTCCCTTCTGTATCCCTGATGAAAGTAAACAGCTCTAAAGAACTTTACTCTTCAACTCTTGCAACTAACCTGGGTGAAATTTTCCTGGCCCTATTTGCCCCACTCAGCAATGCCACCCTAACCTATGCATCGTTAGCATGGAGCATCAAAAAATCAATGTGCTCTTTTTCAAAGTGGAGGAGACATCGTGAGAATCAGTGATGTAACCATAGCTTCAATGTTTGACAACTCTGCTTTTCTCCTTAAATGAACTGGACAGACTTCATTAATATTTGGAAAAGTCAATTTTTAAAATATGATAGTATTATAGCTTTAGCTTTGAGAAAATTCAACTTATTGAGACATATATTTTATTTTTTTAGGGAGGGGAAGGGAAGCTTAAAAGCTCTCCCGTTGTTTGATTATCCTCTCCTATACTCAGCACTCAATTTTCTTCCCTCTGGCACTTTCTGCTGTAACCAGATGTATTGTTTGACCAACTTTTCCTCCCAGGCTTGTTCAGTTGTAATGAACTCTCACCGGCTCTCAATTCGTTTTTGCTATTTTTGACCATTAATTTTTTTTTCAAGTCCTCGAGTAATTTTAAATTATGCAAATAATTATGAAATTAAGCAAATAATTGTGACATGTGAGTGCTGACCCGAGTACTAGGCACCAGTCTAAGAGCTCTACATGCATCACACCTAACTTCATCCTCAACATCTTGTCATTTTACAGATGGAGAAACTGAAGCCAAAAGCTTAAGCTTCATCAAAGTAGGAGCTTGAATTAAACTGCAAAATACAAGATTTGCTGGCAATAAATAAGATATCTTTATTATGATTATGTTAATAGTTAAAACTTGCATGTTTTCTAGATAGTCGGTAACAGGGTTAAAAAAATACAAAAAGGCGGGGTTCTTAATGATTCAGCTGAATTAACTATAAAATTAAAATACCTGCTATTTAATACCTTCTAAAATAACACAAAATATATTCAATATGCAATACAATCCTCAGTAATCCAATTCTCCTAATACGCAATTATTTATAAACTCTGAACTAAGAGGAAATGGTTTGGCTAAACAGAGAAATAACAATGTTTTTATCCTAAGTAATCTATATTTTGGAGTAGAAATACTCATTTAATACAATGTTAGCTATTAATATTCCACAAGGAGTAATCTTTATTTTAAAAAACAATGTTATAATTATACCAATTTTTAGTTATAATTTGTTAGTGTGAATTTGCCCAACCTAAATTCCTGAGTGCCTGGAAAATACAACTTTTTTAAAGCTACTATTAATAATTTGTAACACAGTTTACTAATTCAAATTGACATCCCAACCTACTTATCTTTAAGGTACAGGATTTAATATCTTTTTGTTGTTGTTAAGTGGAATTCTCATTAACAATGTAAAGCATTTTCCTTTCTAAATTGTATTTTATTCAATTATCTGTAACAATGCCATATAGTAGTAAGCAAAGCAAGCAACATTACTTTTTTAAATAACATCTTTAATTAAAGTTTTTGCAAAGGTAGAATATTAAACTTAAAATAGGTCTTAGTACATCAAAATACTAAGTTCTCTAATTGTATTCCAAGATGGTCTTTAAAACATAATATCCCATATATCACAGAAGAGCAACCTTGATCTGCAATGAATTTTACAAACATAATAAATATATTTACGCCATTACACATAACAGTATGTACAACAGCAGTTGACAATAGTAGCTCAGAACAGCAAAAGAATTAGCCCTGCCCCCCCACCCCCTCCCCCGCAAATCATAGCCCTGATGATGCAGATTGGACTGATTAAGGAACCTTGACTGAAAGAGTAGTTACTAATTCAATATGGTTCTTCCTTTAAAAGAGAAAACATTTTTTTGTTCCTCAAAATACACAAAAATGTTAGTTTGGTGTGTTCTTCATTAAACCAGACAATGACAAAAGACAGAGTAAGGCAGGCTTAAAAAGGGAAGAACATAAACTTCATAATAATTTCATAGCATAAAAGAGGACTAAAATGCAAAACTACTTAACATAAACTCATGAGGAAACAAAGCAACTATTTTTTTAACCAAAGAATTCAAAATCTGCTATAGCTGAGTCAGACAGGTAGGTGAAAGGCATGAAATGAAAATGTACAAAGATGGATCAATAAACTACTGCATTGCACAAAAGCTCAAAAAAAGAAGTTCAAGATGAAATAATCTGAAAATACAGGTATTTTCTCAAGTGGAAGAAACGCTAAGTCATAAAGAGAACGCCCAAGAGGAAAACCGTCTGTTTTCCTATACAAGGCATATTTACCCTCTGATAATAATGGTGACATTATTGCTACGAGAATCAAAAATTACTCTTAGAGGGAGACAACTCTTTTCATTCCTCCACAAAAGCCAGGAAAAAAAAAAATCTTTGATTTTCATTATAGCAAAAGAAAATATTCATATAAAAGCTACATGTTATCTTATTTTCTAAAACCAGAATCTATTATGCTCATCAAAAACACAATTTAATTGGTATACACTGCTAAAATCTTGATGTAATCTTAGAATAACATCAGAGTGGGTTTGCTTTTAAAAGAGGCAACAGTGTAAATGTGACATTATGATGGCATTTTAATTAACAGAAAGAAATGTGTACATTTAAAAAATACAAAAGCCCAATAAAAAGATCCCCCTCATATAACAGACATTTTACTCTAGAAATTAATTGCACATCAAAGAGTTGTTTTAGCCATATGTGGCACTCCACAGAAATTAAATATGCTCTCAGGCATTCAAATGGTCTGATTACCTAAATGACCGCCAAGCAAGAGTTTGTATACTGAAAGGCACACATTTCCATGTTTTATCTTGTAATTTTGTGTAAATTTTCCTTAGCACTGTTGATTAATGTTTTTTAAGTAAAAGGTGCCATCACCATCTGTGCAAATCTAAACAAATCGTCTCCAGAAACCATTCCTTATTTTCATAATACCAAGTCCAAACTATTTTCTGCCTTTAGATACACATGCTACTTTCATTTTAAAATTCTGAAAGTGGGAATCCCTTGCCTTTTCAAAGGAATGACATTTTAATGGAACTTAATATGAAATGATTTGTTAAATATAATGTTAAAAGCATGATTAAGAATTCAAGTACAGCAAAAGATAAGCAAGTGACATTCGTACAGCAAAAGCTACTATAATAAAACTAAAACATGCTATTTGATTAAAAAGGAACACGATGCAAATAATATATAAGAGCACAATTTGGTACACAATGTAGCTTGGACCAGCTTATAGAATTTTCACAGGTAAAAGAAAAGCATCTGCCATGTATACCATAATTAATATGCAATATACAGGTGCAAATACAAATGGTTATTTCCTGCTTCAAAAATAACAAAATAACCACTATGAAAGCAGTGGTTGTTCATGTTTGAAAAATAAAGTTATAAAAACAAGCTAGTATACAATGCTACTATGAATATGAATGTTTGTCTACATAGAGGCTCCAAGACGAGCTGAGTATCATACAGTAATCCAAGTTTCAGTAGCATAAAAACTACCAGATAGCCAAAGGGTTTCACTTAAGCAACACTGCAGCACTGCTGAATTTTTATAGGTAGTTCAGTCACCAACTTCTTTATTGAGTAAATACAAACCTACTAGCAACTGTATTGAAGAACAGTTGAACAACAGGACTTCTGTGATGTTACTCCCTCCCATTTCCTCTTCTCTCAGTCTTATTAATAATAATATATATTTTAAAACCTCTGTGTGCTTTGAGAGTCACAGAATAAACAAACTTCCCCTCAAAAAACTAAATTAATATAGTCAAAATAAAAACTGTATTACCATTTATGGTACCTGAATAAAATCTAACTACCAGCATGCTAGACACCACCATTTACATCAAAGTTTAGAACATAAGTTAAAGAGACCAAGGTGGTAAGCTGGGTGGGAAGTAGAAAAACAATTTTTGCCATTTTTTAAAGATCTGTGTTAAAAAAGAAACACTATATAACAGCTCACAGTTTCTTTGTTAATGTACTTTAAAAAGTGTTGATGGGTTACTTCTGAAAACACAAAGGCAAAAGGAAGACAAAAACTGAAGACTAAAAAAATATATCAATATACAAGTAATCTAAACACATGTAAATTTTGTCAAGATAAACCATGGAAAGTTGAATTCGTTATAAGAACACAATGGTGAAGACAAGCATTCCTGCAGTTCTCCCAGGCAGCGAATTCACACTGAACACAGCAGTGCCATATTGTTCTTCAGATCCTCTTACAGAATACAGACCTAAGCATTCTTAATATACATATTACATTTCTATCACTTTTTAATATACAAGTCAAATTTCTATGCTTTCTTCCCAATGTGCAAACTGGAGCCAACATCTTTATTTTCTCAATGGCCTGGAAGGGCCACCAGATAAAAGAGAGGTAATTTAAAGGCCCACCCACCTCTTCCCCCCAAATTTTCCCCTCAAATTACAAAGTTGATTTTAAAAACTTGTTGAATTAGAATAATAGATTTTTTAAATTCTTTACTAAACACAAGAAACTTTTATAATTACTAAATTGTTTAATAAAAATCCAGGTCCTCACCACCTGCCCTATACTTTCATCAATGTACAGACTGTTATCTGAATGTTTAGTTTCAAGACTAAACACATTTATAAGCACACACTTCAGCCCAACAGGACAAGTCTACGTATATTCATGTGTATACAATTTCAGCTAGAATATACGCTTGCAAAATAAAACTACATTCCTGCTAGTCTGGGGTTTCTTTTTAAGGTGTGGCACTAAAACAAAATTTTTTGTAGGGAAATTAAAGTTGTCATTTCAATTCCACTCAACTCAAACAAGACCCAAGTCTTTAATTACATTTAATAAATAGGAAAACCTAATTAAAATAAATATCCATTCCTGGGTCAAATTTTATCTCCAAACTATGATTGCTGATAACTTCCTTTAAATCTTAAATAGATGTTTCATAAAGCTGGAAAGGAAGAGGTATATATCACTGAGGGAGAATAGCAAGTAAAAATATTTAAGATCTATTATGAGAGTTTAAATTTTTTCTTATACAAGTGAATTAAAATTCAACATCATAATTCTTACCCTTTTGTAAAAAGCTCACACACAACTTTTACCAAACATAACCATATACAATAAGCAATTTCAGTCCAATCTATCAAAAGGGAAGTTTCTTCAGTTCATTCCGACAAGTATCTTCTGACTGAACCCAAGTTGGAGGAAGGAATATAGACAAAGCTTTACATGCTAATTACCGGTGGCGGGTACCTGTATTTAAAATCAACAATTATGGTTTTCCTACACAAAACCCCAACCCTCCCACCCAACAACCCCAGGTGCTACAGTTCCATGGCTTGCCAGTAAGTAGTGTCTATGTCGTCAAGGTCTATCTTTGTTCCAGTAGCTTTGCTTCTACTGCAATTTTCTGACATGCAGAAATGAAGTTTTGGTTGGCATATGCCCAAGTTTCAAGCTGTCCACTTTAAATTTTTTTAAAGTTTCTTTTATTTATAAAAGAAAAAAAGCAACTCTTCACCATTCTGCATCCCCAATGGCTTTGGAAAATATATAATCTCTTCCATTAAGATTCATAATGCCATCCTTGAGATGAAATTTCCATTTGTTTTTACTTCTGTGTATCTAAACAAAAACAAATTAAAAGAATTAAGAGATACAATCAGAAAACAGGGAAAACAAGTAACAAAAAATCCATACACACCCACCACACACACCCACAAAACAGTATTTACAGTATTGTATTTACAAATTGGTTTCTTTTGTCTTTGTAGAGACAGGGTCTCCCTATGCTGTGCAGGCTGGGCTCAAGCTCCTGGCCTCATGTGATCCTTCTGCCTCAGCCATAAGTGTTGGGATTATAGGTGTGAGCCACGGCACATGGCCTCAAAATTGGTTTCCTAATAAAGTTTAATTTCACCAAAAAAACACCCCACAAAAAATTCACTCATTAGGTGGGTTTAAAATAAATAAATTTATCTGTAATTAGTACTATATCACAGCTTTCAGTACTTGTGTTCATTAAAGTAGTGAAAAAAATATTTCTTTACAAAATGTCTTATCCCTCTATCAGGTTTGCATATGTATTTTCAAGGTCTACCTCAAAAAGACTGTATCCTCCACAAAGCCTTCCCAAATCTTACCAGCTAAAACTATTGTTTTCCAGTGGTATTCTCATTGACATTTTTTACATTATGTGTAGGTAATACAATTATAGACTCATTTTCTTCTACCAAAATAAAACTCCTTATAGTGTTCTCAAGTCCTAACATGGAACCTTTACATAGCAGTATTTAAAAATACATCTAAAGGATGCTGATCATCCAGTCACTTACAGCAGATTTTAAAAACTACGTACATCCACAGTTAAACAAAATAGCTGAAGGGCAGGCTCTGGGAACTCCCATCTTTGCCTTCACTTATAGTCCTTAGTTGTTTGTAACTCCATGGATTTGGTGGGGGAGAGGAATTGTAAAACTTAATGAACTGAAGTGACCTTTCTTCCTTTTCCCAGTAATTCGCACTAATTATTTAATGTTCAGTTCAAGTTCCACATCTTCTGCAGAGAAGGCCCCATGGATCTCCCTATTCTATGATTTAAAGGTACCTAAAAAAAAAAATCAACTAGTTCAGTCTTTCATTTTCAGAAGAAGAAATGATAGCTTGGATAGGGTTCAATGGTTTGACCAAGGGTATATTGCTACTAAGTGATAATCATGATTTTCAAGTCTTGGTCCAATGCTCTTTTTACTAAATCAGTCTGTTTCATATAATAATGTAGAAATGCTCAGCAGGTGCAGATTTTTTTTTAAGACAGACTCTCACTCCATTGCCCAGGCTGGAGTGCAATGGCGTGATCTCAGCTCATTGCAACCTCCCCCTCCCAGGTTCGATCAATTCTCCTGCCTCAGCCTCCTGAGTAGATGGGATTACAGGTACCCACCATCATACCTGGCTAATTTTTGTATTTTTGTGGAGATGGGTTTCACCAGGTTGGCCAGGCTGGTCTTGAAGTCCTGACCTCAAGTGATCCGCCCACCTCGGACTCCCAAAGTGCTGGGATTACAGGCGTGAGCCACCAGGCCCATCCAGGTACAGATATTTTCTGAGATCTCATTCCTAAAATTCCATGGACTAACCTCCCAGTGCAAACATTCTTCATGACATATTCCTAGCAAATGGTTGTGCAGTGCCTGCTTCAATACAATTAGAAATAGTGAGCAAAGAATTTCAAATTAAGTTATTCCTTTGGGGAACAGCTCTATTGTAAAATCTTTCATAGTTACCCTTACTGAAATCTGCTTCTCCAACTTCCATTCATTGATCCTAGCTCTGCCTTTTGAGACTTCAAAAAAACACACACAAAACAAAAAAATCACTCAGCCTTCATCTTATTTGGAAACCACTCTCATGCTCTTCTGAATTCAAACTTTTCTTACTTATTAAAGCAAAACAAAGCACAATAAAGTTAAAACAGCAGGTAGGGCAAAGACTGTTGGATTAAGAGTATATCTCTGGTCTAAATACAATAAGTAAATGCTAAATGTAGCATCTTAAGATTGATGACTCGAATGCCATCAAGCATACCAGACTTGGCATGTTCAACACCAAACTGATGGCTTCTCTCAAACCAGCTCCACATGCAGCTTTTTTCCCCCATCTGAATTGATCATATCACCATTCTTCTTTCAGAATCCTCATCAAAAAATCTTGTGAGTCATTCTTGATTCCTTTTTCTTTTCTACTACACATCTCAGAATCAGGAAATCCTGTTGAGACCCTTCCTTCAAAACAAATCCAAGATCCAACTACTTCTCATCAACTTTAATACCATCACCAAAGGCTGAGTCACCATTATCTCCCATGTGAATTATTATAATATCCCCCTAAACAGTATGCTTGTTTCAGCAACCTTTGCTTCCTCTTACATTCTGCACTCTACAACGAAAGAAAAGTAATCCTCTCAAAATTTAAATCAGATCATACCATTTGTCTCACTGAAACCTTCCAATAACTTTCTGGCTCACTTAGTTAAGAGCCATGTCCTTATATAATCCATACCACTGGCCTTCCCTTACCTCTCTATCTACTACTGTACTCTCCCCTTCCCTCATTCCAGTCCAGCCACACAGGCCTCCTCACTGTTCCTCACATACAACAGACTCTGACACCAGATGACAGGGCTAACTCTCTCCAAGAGAGTTAGCAGGGAGATGTATGTATATAGGGAGAAGTATATATACAGGGAGAAGTATACATAGATGGAGAAGTATAAAAAACTGAAACCAAACCTATCCTCTTTCCCTGCTCTTTATTCTTCCATACCAATTATCAGCTTCTAACAAAATATACTGATCTTTTATTATGTTTTAAATAAATAAATAAATCCCAATTTATTATGTTTTAGCATCTATCTCCCCTGACTGAAGTAAGCTTCCTAATGGCAGGGACTGTTCTGTTTTGATCACTAGCTTATCTCAAGCTCCAAGAATTAGTGCCAAGGGACATCATAGACACTCAATAGGTATTTGTTGCATGAAAAGACCACTGTCACCCCTTTCCTTTGCTTTCCTATAAAGTATTATTTATCCTACAAATGTGTACACAAATGTATTTCCAGCATGAACCAAGTGACTGCAATCAGAAAGACACTGGGCTTAGCTAGACAAAAACAGGTGATAGGTAGCCAGGAAATAGGGATTCTACAGACACAAGTAAAGAAGCTGACTGCATTCTGTCACAGGACAGCACAATTTACAAAAAATAAATGCAGGAAAGTTTCATGGCCAATTAATCCATACAATTAACACTGAAGTCATACTGAGTAATAAATGGTAAATATTTTTATATTAATAGAAGTACATTGTCACAACTTAAAAAGCAATTCATTTACTGGCCCTAACCCCTTAATGAAGGAATGTTCTTAAAACCAGGAGATGGCTAATTAGAAATGAAATTTCCTAATTAGAAATGAAAGATTACCTATATCTGATGCTATTTTCGCCAAATGCTGTATCAGCCCTTATCTACCCACTCGTAAGCAAGAACTCTGCCATATTATTAGCATTTAACTAAGATTTTTATTTGATTGGCAATACAAACTTTATTAGTCCTTCTATGATCTCTTCTAAAATTGACTCATTGTTGACATTCTACAGTTTAGGCTTTAAAACTACATTCCTAAAATTCAACGTGGCTCAAACAACATCCAACTTCATTTTATGCAGTCATAGAACATTGCTATTCTTTTCTATTGGCTAAGGACATCAAGCCATCACCCTCCTCCAATCTTTGAAGCAACTCACTTGATTCTTAAAATTAGACCTCTGCAAATTTTATAATTATTTATCATTCAGCACACTATTTAGAGCTATTTTCTACTTACTAATTTAAAACACTAAAGTAATGTCTCTGGAAGCAAAACAAACCAATTTTAACATTTAAAATATTATGAGTACAGTTTATGCCAAAGGAGAATACAACCATTCTCTTAAAGCAGAAAGACACTTAGAAGTATATTCTTCAGTCAGGCTAAAACAAAGGTCCTCTCTTCCCCTGATAAATCTGACATCTCAACACGAAATTCTGTTCTGTATAATCTGGTTGCAAGGAGATCCCTTGAGACTTCCTAACAATAGGATTTATTGGTATCTTTTGTGTTAACCTCATACTCTTGCTCTATGTGTATCTAACAGGAAACTACATTTGTTATAATGCACACGGTATATGGTATTAAGAACAGTCTCTCAGAAGTCATAATGCACAAAAATGAATGCTGTGAAACTCTCAATGACCTTACTGACTTTATTCTATAACTTCACTGGTATAAAATTGTCCTAACTCCACTTTTTTATGAGCAAATAAGATCCACAGTATTAGCATTCTTCCTATAGATCTGTTTGCAGTAAGCACAGCTACTTATCACATTCCTTTCTACAAAAGCAACAGAGTTAAGATTTTCTTCATCTGTAAAGGAAACTTTATGCAGGGCACAAATTTTACATGTTCATAACTACATCTCCAGTGCCTAGAAAATAGTGTCTGGTGTATTTCCGCACTCCATAAATGTTTGTTGAATAAATAAGCTTCTGTTAGAATTTTCAGCATTTGGTAAAGACCACTACCAAAATTATAAATGCAATGTAATATGTGCATGTATTATAAGTTTAATGATTGCAGTAAAAACAAACTGTATTCCAATTTAAATGTCTGGAAAACAAAAATCTCGAAAATAATACAAATAAATATAACAAAAATACTTGGAAAGAAGCACCCTCTTTAGGAATTAAGAATATAAGGAATGAACAGCTAGTTTTCACAGTATCTGGTTTATTTTTTTTCTTTTTATTTGTTTCGGTATCTGGTTTAAAAATTCCTTAATGCTAGCAAAATACAGCAAAGTTAAATAATATTTTAAGTAATTTTCAGTAAAAATTTATCTCTTTGTTTTTAGAACCGTTCATTGCCTTAGTCTTCTCCTTAGTAATAAAAATAGTTACAGAGATTCAATTGAATCCTTCTAGTTTTGAGATAGTTGAGGCTAAACCGAAAAGAGAATTATCTCATTGAGTTACCATAAAGGACAACCTCAAAGTGGCTGTTTACTCTGCTTACAAGTTGAAAGTCTAAATAGAAAAAAAGATCATAGCTCTTTTCATTTCATTTATAACTTATTTTTCAAATGTGGAGCTAAGAAATTAATCTTTCATTCTACTAAAATAATCCACATAACTGTAAGTGTTTTCATACTGTTCATAATGAATTTAAGAGGCATGAATCAGCTGCCCAAATGTCTCAGTAAGGCAGAGAGAATGATGTAGGGAAGAAATTACAACACAAATAACGTCAGTAATCTGAAGATAACATCCTTACCTTATCATATTGGCATACGACGACATTTTCTGTGTCAAAAAGTTCCTGTCCTTCCTCATCACTCACATCATCTTCACTATTGAGGGGCTCCTACAAATAAAAGGAGAGTTTATTTTATTACTATTAGAAGGCCTAATATTCACTGAAAAGAAATATAATAACCTTGATGTTCTTTGAGAACCAAATGCCAAATGCATATATGTATGCCATGAATATAACAGTCAAATCAGCTGTTAAGTTTGCCAGTAATACTTAAATATAAGAAATTAAATATAATTAAAACAGTTAAGCTATATAGCTTATAAGTCTGAAAAGATGTTTTTGTTTTATTCTTTAAAAATAGTACAAGATAATTCTCCATAATAACTGTTTAAGATGCCTAGAAGAGGACCTAATATGAAGGTTTAAAAGAGCTAATGGCACTACGTACTACAAACAATATAAAACGAAAACAGTGGAGAAGTTAGAGGAGAAAAGAAGGGCAATGCAATAGGTTACCAGTTTGCCCTACTGTCTTTACATTAAAGAACTTGGACTCTGAATACAAATCAGCATGCTTAGCATTATGATGGTTATGGTGGAGGCATGAAGCAGAATTAAGATTCAGACTTTTTTTTTTTTTTTTTTTTAAAGGCAGGGAGTAGGAAATCTCAGCATTAAAGAGAATTAAGGGCCAAGATAAAACATAACTAGAGCATAAAATAACCAAACATGTTAAACTTTGCTCCAATTGTGAAAGAAGATAAAAGATGTAACTGTGATTTCTAATAAACGGAGAAAGAGAAGACAAAAGTAGAGACAACAATAATCAAGATGGTATTATGAGAAGGCATAGTGGCTCATGTTTGTAATTCTAGCACTTTGGGAGGCCTGGGTGGGACAATCACTTCAGGCCAGGAGTTTGAGAAAAGCCGGGAAAATATAGTGAGATGCCATCTCTACAAAAAAAAAAAAAAAATTAGCAAGATATGGTGGCATATGCCTATAGTTCCACCTACTTAGGAGGATGAGGTGGGAGGATTACTTGACCCCAGGTGGTCAAAGCTATAATAAGCCTTGATCACACCACTGCACTCCAGCCTGGACAACAACCTGAGACTCTTATCTACCAAAAAAAAAAAAAAAAAAAATTATACCTAGGCCTACGCCTACTTACACACAGGTGTATATGTATAGATATTCTTTAATTTAAAATAGGTATAATCAATGTAAAGTGAAAAAAATTTTGAGGTAAACTTCAAGTAACATAAAATTCAACATTTTAACATTTGTAAAGGTACAATTCAGGTGCAATGAACATTTATAATGTGTATAACACTCACCACTACCTAATTCCAGAACATTTCATCACTCTTTCCCATTAAGCTGTCACTCCCCATTCTCCCTGTCCCCTGGCAATCATCTGTGTGGCCCTGTGTAGCTGATGTCTTTCACACAGCATGTTTTCAAGGTTCACCCATGTTGTAGCACATATGAATACTTCCTTTTTATGGCTAAATAATATTCCACTGTTATCAGTGCATTCATCAGCTGATGAACATGTGGGTTGTTTATACCATTTTGGATATCATAAATAGGGCTGCTACGAACAATCACATACAGGTTTTGTTGAAAAACATGTTTTCAGTTCTCTTGTGTATATACTTATATAAGAGTGGAACTGCTGGGTCATATGGATAATTCTATACTTAATTTTTGAGGACCATCAAACTGTTTTCCACAGCAGCTGTACCATTTTACATTTCTACCAACAATGCACAAGGGTCCCAATTTCTCCAAATCCTCCCCAGCGTTTATTTTTTCTTTCTTGTTTTTTTTTTGAGTACAGCTCTCCTAGTAGATGTGAAGTGGTTATCTCACTGTGGTTTTCATTTGATGCTGAGCATTTTTTCAGATGCCTGTTGGCTATTTGTGTATCTCCTTTGGAGAAATGTCTACTCAAGTCCTTTACCAGCTTTTAAATTGGGCTTTTTGTTGTTACACTGTTTAAGAGTTCTTTATATATTCTGGATAGTAGATCCTTATAAAATACATGATTTGCAAACATTTGCTCCCAGCTACTCAGGAGGCTGGGGAGAAGGATTGCTCCAGCCCGGGAGGTCAAGATGCTGAGGCTGCAGTGAGCCATGATCATGCCACTGCACTCCAGCCTGGGCAACAGAGATTCCGTCTCAAAAAACAAAAACATAAAACATCTTTTTAATCTACGAAGTCCATGTTTTCTTTGATTGCTTGTACTCTGGATGTCATGTCTAAGAAACTGCTGCCAAAACTATGAAGATTTACTCCTATGTTTTCTTCTAAGAGTTTTACAATTTCGCTCCTAGATGTTAGGTCTCTAATCCACTTTCAGTTAATTTTTGTATATGGTATGCCGTAGGGGTCCAACTTAACTCTTTTGCATGTGGATATTCAATTGTCCAAGCACCATTTGTTGAAGACTATTCTGTCCCTACTGAACAATCCTGGCTTACATAAAAGTTTTACCAAAAAAAAAAAATAGCATAAATAGTAATATAAAAAGATAAACCTAAAGCTTACAGATCCAAAATGTTTGAAAAGTAAAAGAATGAAAAAAGCTGTACCAGGCAAATTCTAACCACAACAAAGCTGGTACACCTCTATTAGTATCACACAAACACTCTTTATGGTTGAAAAAAATTACTAGCAATAGAGCAAGACATTATATGATCATAACTGGTTCAATGCACTGAGAAAAAATAATGAATGTTAAACTTATATGCACCCATTTTGAGGCTCAAAATATAAAAAGAAAAATAGCAGAAGAACAAAAGAAACATGAACTACCATAGTAGGAGATATGAACATATTTCACTCGGTAGTAAAAAATGGATCAAGCACACAAAAAATATCAAAGATACATAAAAAGCATCTGAGCAAACCTATTGACAATGTAAATCTAACAAACACATACAAGTACCAAACAAGTGCAGAAAAGAAAATTCTTTTCAAAGCATATACAAAAACTGACCAAATCAAGCAAGCCTCAAGCAATTTCAAAGTATTCACGCATCACACCTATCATATTCTTTACAAACAAAACAGTTAAGTCATAATAGAAATTAATAGAATAGGAAAAAACACACTAGAGAGAAGAAAGCTAAAAGTTTACTCTTTGAAAACGACATACCCCTGGCAAGACTGAACAAGAAAAAAGGAAACAGATGGCACAATAATTATATTAGGAATAAAGAAAAAAGGAAATGATAACAAATGATTCTGGCATCAAAAAGATACTATCATGATTAACTTTATGTTAATCAACTTGAAAATGTAGATAAATATATAAAGAGCCCTAGAAAAATGTAATTTATCAAAACTGTCTCAAACAGAAACAAAATACTTGAAGGGCATGAGATTACGAGACCCAGGTATCTGTAGTGGCATGTTTTAACAATATCAACAAAAAATTAAATATGATCTTTAAAAAAAAAAAAGCTCAAAATAGAGAAAACATGTCCCCAAATTCGTTTTATAAAGCTACCATAACCTGACAACCTGGTAAGAAGAGTATGAGAACAGAAAATCAAAGACAGTATCTATCACTCACGAGTATCTATGAAAAGGTCCTGAACAAAGTGAATTCAGTAACTTATAGAAAGAGAAATAGAAAATGATCAAGTTGTGCTACCCCAGAAATACAAGATTGGTTTACGAACAGAAAATCCATTAATGAAACTCATTATAAATAATATTACAGTAAGAAACTGTATAATCGATCATTGCAAAAAAAAAAGTGTTGAATTAAATGCAACATTAGCTTACAGTTTAAAAAAACAAAGAAATGCAAAGACGGGAATTTACTAATCTGATAAAGATATCCATTAAAAAAAAAACAAAAACCCAAAACAAACATTAACTGTGAAGCATGGAAAAGATTATTTTTCAGTTTAAGAATAAGAGAAGGGTACCTGCTATAACCATTTCTAATCAATATTGTTCTGGAAGGCTTAGCCAACAAGCCATTAAAAAAAAAAAAAACTGCCATTCCTCATATGAGATGTTAATATCTACACAGAAGATACAAAAGAATCTACAGATATATTATGAGGACTAACAAAAGACATTAGGAAGGTGGCTGGTTCAAGGATGAATATTTAAAGCTCTCTACATTTCCATACAACCAATAAACAACTAGAAAATGTTTTTATTAAAAACATGTTACGTAGAGTAGCATTGAAACTATAAAGAATTTATTGGGGGAGAATGGGCAGATCTGAATAAACACTTCCACACGATAAAACACAAATATCAAATAAATACACAAACAGAGCCTTTACTCCTTAGTAAGTGAGGAAATGAAAACTAAAACCAAAATGAAATACTATTTTCTACCTACCAGACCAGTAAAAATTAGGAAGCATGACACTATCAGGTACTGATAAGGATGTATGGACATCTGCACAATTATGTAATGAATGGCAGAAATGATTTGGTATTTTATTGTAAAGTTGCAGATGTGCATGCCTTGGGAGCCAGAAGTTCACTGTTTAGGTATAAAATTTAGAGAACCTCTTGCATTTGTGACCCCAGAAGACATATACTACAATATTTTATAACTGTTTGTAACAGTAACCAATTAGAAACAATCCTGATGTCCACCAGATTAGAAACACTGACAAATAAAATTATGGTATATTCTTCAATGAAAATAATTATAGCTATATGCAACAACTTGGATAAACCTCAGGAATATCATTTTGAGGGAAAAAAACCACTTGCAGAAGAATACATAATTACTTCATTTATGTTTTAAACATGCAAAACTAAATATGCTATTTAGGAACATAAATATATATGGTAAAATTAAAAAGCAATTAATGATCAATACAGAATGTATGAGCAAAGGTACTTTGATGGCCTAGGAAAGAAGATGGGATTAGGGAGAGGCACCTTAAGCACGTTAAATAAAAGCAGATTTTATTTTAACTAGATGGTGGGTACCAGGATTATTTATATCTTGAAACATTTCTATTAATTTGTGTCTATTCAATATTCAATAATAAACTTTTTTAAAGTTACTTAGATAATTTAGAACTTTGTACTAAGAAACAAGAAGACTGCATTTTAGGCCAAACAAGGCAATTAACAATGAAAACTGTGGTGGGATAAATTTTTTTTGGAGACTAGTAACTAAGCTAGAATGGGGAAAACAAAGGCGTATTTATATGCTTCTAGAAGAACACAGACATTAAGCGTACATAGGTTTTTAAGGAACTAGTACAAAATGTGGACCATAAAGTTTTAAATATTTAATAAATCTGTGACATTTATTTCTTCTTGAGTTTGCTCTCTCCCCAAATGTTGCCATGCTTTTTAAATTACTGAAGCAAAAGATTAACCACATCTATTTTTCTATCAGTGTCTTATGTTTAAGCTACATTATAAATGGCATAAGCCAGAGTTAGAATTACTTGTACTCTTTACTACACATATTAATACAATTTAATTTGGTATACATTTTTATTACCAGCTATATGAAATCATGAAATAAATATAGTCAGAATACAAAAACCTTACTAAAGTTAAAATGATCTTTATCTTTAAAATCTTACGTTGCATAGCACCTAACAGTTTCTGAAAATACAGGATATAATTTATCAGTTTGGCAGCAACTAAAAAAGGAAATGATTGAGATTATCATTTTAAGTATTTAACTAGAAACGTACTTCTTCCACCTGCCCATCTTCAGCTCCATCTTTCTCTTTGTCTTCCTCCTCATCATCATCATAGTCTTCTTCTTCATCTTCATCTTCTTCAGATGACGTATCCCCAGTTCCATCAACTTGTAAGACCAATGGAGCTTGTGTTTGAGCAGGCTGGGCCTGTGGTTGCTGCTGGCCAGTTGCAGTTATCTGTGCTTGGGCTGGTGTAGGTGCTGCCACTGTCGTAGGTATAACTTGAGTCTTATTTCCTGTAAATAAGATTTGCTGAGGCTGAATGATGACACCTGTCTGTGGTGAAATCCCTCCAGGAAGAGGAGCCAGTACCTAAAGCAAAAGAAAACCACATAATAGTTAAGAGGATCAAGTATGGTATATAGAAATAGGACCAAATGCTGAAGAATCACCAGAAATGGCCATATTGCATAAACAATTAAAACTACCCCATTACGAAAGCAATCTTTAACTAGTGTACTGACCCATTAAATTTCTATTTTATCAAATTTCTGGAAAATAAGGATTTTCTAAAGATAACTACTTCACCTCATTTATTCAGTACGTAATATATACACGCCAGATACCAGGCCAAGAGTTGAACACTGCCTTTATATGAGGAACACTGGACTGAGAATCTGAAAACCGGGGTCTACTTTTGCCTAAGGTCAGACATAGATATAGCAGAGGCAAGTCATTTAATTCCTTTTGGCCTCTGTCATTTCAATGTTAGACTAGGATCAATCGTTCTTAACCCTGGCTGCAAAATAAGAACCACCTGGTAGCTTAAGAAGTACTGATACCTTGGCCATAACCCTAATATTCTAACTCAGTGTGAGGTAAAAGCTAATTATTTTTCTAAAAACCACCAGATCAAATAATTTCTTAAGTTCCTTCCCAGGTTCTGCATCTAAAATTCTAAAGTAAGCCACAACTTATTAACAAATATTAATTCTATATATTATAATAAAGAAGAAGGACTGGATGCTTGTTACCTGCCATTAGGTTCAAGGAATGCAAACATAAGACATAATATTTCTTTTAAAACACTTACACATGGTGTAACAGTACAAAAGACAAAAAAAAAAAAAAATGTACAATAGGCAAACAAAGCACTAACAACTCAAAAAGACAGGAAACAGTACAAATATGACACAGTATTATGGGAACACAAGAGAGGGTACGAAATTCAACTTGGGGGACAAGGCATGATCAAATATTACTTATATCATTAGCAAGTAATACTTGAGTTTCTGTTTGTGATTTATGGCAGCAGTTCCCAGCCCGTTAGAAACCAGCTGCACAGCAGGCGGTGAGCGAGCATTGCCATCTGAGCTCTGCCTCCTATCAGATCAGCGGCAGCATGAGATTCTCATAGGAGCACAAACCCTACTGTGAACTGCACATGCAAGGACAGAGGTTATGCACTCCTTGTGCTTGATGATCTGAAGTAAAAGTTTCACCCTGAAACCACCTCCGCTGCCCCATATGTGGAAAAGCTGCCTTCTGCACAATCAGTACCTGGTATCAAAAAGCTGGGGGACCGATGCTCTAAGAAGATTAGCCGGGTTTTTTATATTTTATTTGTTTGGGAGACGTGCAGGGAGTTGCCAGACAGCATTCTTAGGAGAAGAGTAACGACAAGTGAAACCCAGAAGTGACAGCAGTATGTGATTTTGGAAAGATGCAAATAAACTGGATTAATACTACTGCTCTGATCTTGTCACTATCATCATACTATTTTATTGACATTTTAAAAAGAGGCAGACACATAAACATATGAAGCACATCAGTTCCTCAAGAAAACAACCATCCCTCTTTCATTTTAGTGCTCACAGCACAAAAATCTAATGCAAGTAGATCCAAGTGTTTATTCTGATGTAAATGTAGCTAAAGAATTTACCTGGGAGTGTGGCAACAAATAAACTTGTAGAGTACAAAGAAACAAGATCCACAAAAAGATCTTATTAACATTGAGTTGTTTAGGCTTCTTCCAGAAAGCAATGTGAAGTTGTTAAACGGTTTTTTTAGAAAGGCCAGGCACGGTGGTTCACGCCTATAATCCTAGCACTTTGGGAAGCCGAGGCGGGTAGATTACCTGAAGTCAGGAGTTCAGGGCCAGCCTAGCCAACATGGTAAAACTCCGTCTCTATTAAAAATACAAAAATTAGCTGGGCACAGTAGTGCATGCCTGTAATCCCAGCTACTTGGAAGACTAAGGCAGGATAATGCTTGAACCCAGGAGGCAGAGGTGGCAGTGAGCTGAGATTGAGCCACTGCACTCCAGCCTGGGCGACAGAGACAGACTCTNAAAAAAAAAAAAAAAGAAAGGAAAGAAAGGAAGAAGGGAAGAGGGAGGGAGGGAGGAAGGAAAGAAAAAAACAGAAAGATGACTATAAATCAGTCAGGTTAGGAGGGCACAAGAGGCAGAGACAATATAGTATTTTGGTGACAAACTATGGACAGTATGAACTAAGGAAATGACAAGAGAGGCTGAGGAAAAAACAGTGTCAAACATATTAAGGGACTACAAAAACATGGCAAAACTGCAGTTAAAAAAAAAAAGAAAGAAAGAAAAACTATTAACAAGAATTGGAAGGGCCAGATACCTTGGATATTAGAGATAAGGAAAAGGAAGATTCCACACACCTATTTCCATAATACAGAATAACCATCGTGTAGAGTCATGTCTGCCTCATTCACTCCTAAATTCCTTGACCCTTGTGAATACCCTGAGACTCAGTAGCTGCTTATTGAATAAAGGCCGAATGACCAGCTTAGGAGGCTGGAAGGAGAGTGCTGCCACCTTCAAGGGCATGATGAAGGATGGGCAGACACAACAATAATTGTTGTTTAATAGATGTTCAATCTAGATTAAGCTATATACAGGAGAAATTCGAAACAACAGGGTCTGTAGTACTGAAGAAGAGTCTAAGAAATCGTGCATATAAGGGGAGGGGAACTACCCAGGGAATATATACAGAAGAAAACAGGACCCCCTACCAATCATAATAGATGATTATTTTACCTGCTGTATAACAGGAGCTTGTACTCCACCGGGCTGCATTTGTGGTATAACCTGTTGTTGTAGAACCACTGACTGCTGAGGCTGAAAGATATACTGGGCACCATTGGCTGCTCTGACCACCTGAAGAAGCTGGCCTAAAGCAAAAAGCATGTATTCCAAGTTATCATTTTAGCAGTGACCATCTCAAAAGAAATGAATTCATATTTAATTTCAAACTACCACAGGTACGAGAAATTACCAAGTAGGAAAACTAACAATTTTATTAAAGGCTATTGTCCATACATAGTATGCTATAATCCTTCCCTTCTCTGACTTCTCACCATGTTCAAATACATTCCTTAAAATGTTTTATTTTTCATATTGACATCCTCATTCAGCTATTTCCAACAATGTTTTAACAAGAGATTATAAGACTTGACTAAAAGCTTACATTATCTTTGCTAACCTTAGGAGTCAAGAAAGAGCAATAAGATCAGACACATCAGGAGCTGTTCATTTTTAAAGCTTTAAAGGAACAAAGGCTTAACAGTTCATTTCATATCTTGAACCGAACAAAGCACCACAATACTTTGCTTCAAAATTGGTAAAAGCAATAAAAGTTTGCTGAACCAGTCAGTTATCATCATTGTCATACAATTCACACAGAATCAAATTTCCCCAATATGTTAATTTAGATGACCCAGAATCCTGAATTGATTAAAAAGCAAATTACACCTTATTAAAATATGTACCAAGACAAGCCCCTAATATCACAAATTTACAAATTAACAAAAATAACATACATATATAGAACAGAAAATAAATAGTAACTATATAATCAAGATTATAGGAGACACTTAAAATCCATGAAAATAAATTTTTCAAACACTAACATGCCAAAACACATGAGCTAGACATTGGTCTTTTGTCAATAAAGAGATACTGCATATAATAACAGCATACAATACATTTTCTCTTAATATGCTCTAGTAATTAGTTTGGTATCACAAGTTCAAGTAAGTTTAATACTCACTTGGCACATTAAATATGTTTAATAAAAACCCAAGTAAGCATTTTTATATAATCATACTTCAATAATAGGGTTCTCATGTACAGATCAAAGGTTCAAGTACAATTTTCACCTTCTTTACTGTATCCTCAACAATGATTACAGTTGTGTTACAGCCCTCAAATAAAGTTATTTTAATAATCTAAACCAAATGGTAAAATAAATATTAGTATTTTCCATCTTTCAAAGAAGATAAAACCTAAGGGCTAGATAGTACAATTTTCTAAATTATATTTTAAAATGGTTCCATCATTCCTAATTACCTGAATTTGTTAATATTTGCTGAACAGGAGTCACACCTGCAGGGAGTGCTAAGGTAGCAGCTGTAGCAGCAGCACTCTGAAAAAAAAAAAAAAAAAAAAGAAAAAAAAAAATTAAAAAAAAAAAAAAAAAAAAAAAAAAAAAAAAAAAAAAACACAAAAAAAAAAAAAAAAAAAGAAAAAATATCAAAACCACATATATATATAATACTATCTATCTCTAGCATATTTTATTAGTATATGATTTTTGTTTAGAATATACCAAAATTTTTAAAAATCTAATAAGAACTAAATCCCATTTTATAAAATGGTACAAGAAAGACCAACCTAGTCTAAATGACCTACTAAATTATTTTAAGCAATTAAATAAAACAATTGGGTTTTATTTCCCCTAGAGAAGGTGCTCTAAGGAAACCTCACAGGTACTGTAGCTTTTTTTTCCTTCTTGCCCTATCAATACTTTTTAAGGTACCTACCCTTCCTATACTCAATCTAACCTATACATTTTTAGACAATACCCACATTAACAATACTGTATAATATATGAAATAACTATTTCATCATTGCTTTCTTTCTCACTGTTCCCTTATCCCCATTTCCTTGAGGTAAAAGTATAATTGTTTTCTTTCTAGAATTCGTAACTTTTAAAATTTCTACTAAAATCAACAGATATCTACAGACAACACTGTATCATAAGACTTCACTGGGAGTATAGCTGACAATTCTTCTAAGATGTCGCATTAGCAAAGGAAAAAAGGGAGATATCGGCATTATATTCTAGGTGAAACATTTGTTAATGACAGATTAATACAAAAAATTATTTAAAGCTTAAGAAAAGTCATACCAGGTGCAGTGGCGCACACCTGTAATTCCAGTAATTTAGGAGGCCTAGGTGGGCAGATTGCTTGAGCTCAGGAGTTTGAGGCCAGCCTGGGCAATATGGCAAAACCTTGTCTCTACAAAAAATACAAAAATTAGCTGAGCAAGGTGGTGCACACCTGTAGTCCCAGCTACTTGGGAGGCTGAGGTGGGAGGATGGCTTGAGCCTGGAAGGTGGGGGTTACAGTGAGCCAAGACTGCGCCATTGTACCCAGCCTGGGTAATAGTCACAAACTTTAATTTCTACATTTAAAAATGAAGTTTGTATGTGACACTTAAGTTATAAAGATATAGATGGGATTATATTCTGAGTTTCTTTAAATCCACCACAAATTCTCGACTTCCTGCTTCTGGAGAATTTTCTCCTCCTGCCCTCCCACAAAGAATTATACCATTCTCTGGTTTTTTACTCTGTGCTTTAAGCATTTTCCTGTATCCCACTATAGCTACACATTTAGGTAGTTTTTTTTTTTTTTTTTTCCCTTATCTTCTCAATCTTCTTTAGGTACCAAACATTCATACATTCAATCAACTACACATGCCTGGATAAGCTTAAAGAAATATAACTGCCTTGGAAATGCTAGTGTCAGAGAAGTCAACAAACTTGGAAAACTATTAAACTGGGCTAATAATTCTACTATCGAGCCTGGGCTCTAGGTATATAGCTTTCCAAGAAAATTCACTTGTTATCACTTGACAAATGTAAGTGATTTCTACATCTTGGGCCTGGAAGTCCCACGATATCTCCAAAATTTAACTATAGTCCACCAGGTTGATCCATGTTTAAGCTGGATACTCAATTATCTAATTTAAGATAAATCTTGTCTATATAAGCAAATTAAAAGTTATCTAAGTTTAAGGAAAATATTAGCCACATACTATTAAGCAATATTACTTTAAAAGAAAAAAATATTAAGAAACATTAAGTGCCTATAATTCATATTTTGTAAGACAACAATTCACCCTCTACCAGCAAATTGACATGGTAGTTTCTATAGTACTTTCTATATAGTATACATGACCCAATAACTACCTGCACAGCCTCCACAAATTCAAGTTGCATAACAGATACTTGCTGAGTCATGTACCATACACAAACCACTTTATACTTAATAACTATTAAAATTTCTTCTTGTATTCCACAAAACAGCCCAAACATGAATAATGCATTACACCAATCATTTCACAAAAAAGAACCAAAAACAATGGTTTAAGTTCCCTGAAACAGCGTTCTACTATATTATTACTATCTCACATTTTTATGAATTATATGTTCATTTCTAATATAAACAGAGCCATTAGAAAGAATAAAAATGTTTTTGCTGAGTATTTCTGAATCAGAAATAATAATGTAAACCCACAAAAACCTAGAACACTTTTATTGGTACAGAGCCTATACTGATTACACTTCAGAAATACATGAAGGAAACACTGACTAAAAACAACTAAGTAAAATGCAAATCAATCAGAAATGTTAAATCAATTCTCCTGAATAACTGACCTATGATTTGTTTAAATACATATGCTCTTTAGAATAAAGGAGACTTAACCAGTAAGAGATGGACCACTGATTTTTATCCTAGAAATAACTTATTAATTCAAAAATCTCTTCCACAACATTTACAATTCTTTTGGAGGGGCCTACCACAAGAGATTCTGCCAAAATTTGTTTTAAAATAATGCAAGTTATTCCCTAGGATATAGTCTTAATAACATCAACTGCAATATGCACTGTATAGTGAGACTTTTTTTCATAAAGGTGGAGGATAAAAAAAACTGGGGCTTTAGACTTAAAATGGAGTTTTTTCTAATAAAAAATCTTGTGAGAATAACAGGCATGAAATTTTTTGATTTTCATGTAAATGAATTGATTCTAGTAACTGTAACTACAAGTACAAATAGAGATCCTTATATTTGTGAATTTAAAAATTGCAATTTCTACCATCATGTAGAAACTTTCAATTTTGCCAAGGTATAAATTTGTGAGACTGGTAATGTGCAGGAGGAAGTCATTTGTCTAGTGGGTAAGTCCTTCTTATCTAGCTTATAATCACAAATGAGCTTTGTGATTCACTATCACTGCCAAAGTAGAGCTGATCTTTCCATATACTGTTTTTTGGTTTAAAAAAAAAAATCTTGGTGCGGCCGCCATTGTTCCACCCGTACACTGCACCTTTCTATAGAAGTAAACTGCCTTGCTGAGAGGAATTATCTTCAAGTGCTATTTTTTTTGCAGCACCAAAATTTTACGTATAACAATTCTAGGGGCTTGTCCAAGATTCGCCGTTCTCCTCTGGGCAGTCTCTCTCATGAGGAGATGCGTCCTGCTGCTTCAGTTTGCAGCAGCCTTGTAGGTAAAGTGTTGAGACCTACCCGATGTGACAAACAAGCCTGGCCTCTCAGCAATGCAGGGGCGGTGGGGGAAGGCCTATGAATACTGGTGGCAACTAAGCAACTCTGTGCCCAGACCAAGAAAAAGACACTGCAGGGATCCGGTAAAGTATTTCCTTGGTGGTCAGGACCAAGATGCCATCCTGAAGTTTCCGGTATACCAGCACCAGCCTGGAGACCACCCTACCTCGTGCTGCTAGCCACCAAGACTGCCATTCATACAGCAGAAAAGAAAGCGCCATCACCATTAGAATCATGGCGCTTTCACACTTGAGTCAAGAAAGCACCATCACCATTAGAATCATGGGCTATTGTCCCAGGATCAGACCCTACCAAGTTAAAGTTGAGAGAAACTTAGTCTATCTTTTTTTTGTCTTTTCTTCCCTTCACTCCCCATCTTGTTATAATGTAATTAGATCTGGTTCACCTCAAGTTGTTGCTGTAATGTGTGATTAGTTATGCCCTGTAGAGATATGCATAACCAAGGACAGCTTGCTGCTTCCGGAAGAATATCTCTGTCCCTCTCAGACTTCCTCACGTTAGGAAGATGAGTTCCTCTAAGGATACTAGTAATCCAGGAATAATAGCAGCCGCATTTGTAATTGGTAGGAATCAGACTCTTGTCCCTCTAAAACAGAATCTCTAGGTTCTGCTTAGTCTAATGCCATATGGAACACTAAAGGTTTAAGACAGACTGCTTCCACAGGTCTTTGTCAGTCCTCAAAACTATATACCTACTTCACCAAAGGAATTACTCCTTCTAGCAGTCAATATAACCAATGCAATCCTATACCACTTACTGTTGTTACTGCAACATCTGGAAATTCTTCCCCTTCATTAAGTCGTATTTATGGTAGAGGAGCTGACATTTCAGGAAAGAATCCTAAAGAAATTTTTAAAATGTACTTTATTGCTCCTTCAACCTCTTTATCAACCACTTCTCCTAGACACAATGACAAAACCAAAGTCTCAATGGTAGAAGTAGATGACCTAACTAAGGCAAACCATAGCCACTGAAACAGGATATAAGGATGCAAACCCCTGGGAAGAATGGATTAAGTTTAATTCCTGCGATTGTCATGCTTGTGTGCACAGTAGGCCAGAGGCCCAGGTTGTCCCCTTTCCACTTGAATGGTCCCCGTATCAAGCAGACATGGAATGCATAGTAGCGCTTTCTCAGAATTCCAATGACTGGAATAACAAATTGTGCCAAGTTCCTTCACTGCTATTTCCTGAGGTTCAACACCCCAAGGGTCAACCTGAGGGCCATACAGCCTCCATCTTCCAAGGCAAAGTTCGACACGTGTCTGTCACGACAGGTGGGCGAACTTACTGTTCCTTGGAAACTTTACAGGATGCAGTGAAGTCAGGCACTTCTAAGAGCTGGTGCATCAGTCCGCCCTTGCTCATCCCCGAGCGGATGGATGGTGGTACTGTAGAGGACCTTTACTGGATACTCGCCAAATAACTGGAGTGGCACTTGCACTCTAGTCCAATTGACTATCCCCCTTCTACCCTGGCATTTCATCAACCAAAGAAAAAGAAATTACAATGGCAAATAAGAGAAGCTCCTTATAGGTCTTTTGATTCTCGTGTCTATTTAGATGAAACTGAAGTTCTTTGAGGAGTACCACATAAATTTAAAGCCCAAGATCAGATAGCTGCAAGATTTAACTCAATGTTGTTCTGGTAGGTAACAATTTTTTAAAAAATTATAAATTAGATAAACTACATGTATTACAACCAACAGTGGTTTGTTAACTATACTAAAGACGCTGTCAAAGGAACAGCTGAACAATTAGGATCCACTAGCCAAATGGCCTAAGAAAACAGAATAGCCCTAGATATGAGATTAGATAATAATACTTCTTGTTAGATATTGTGTCACACCATGCATCCAAGGACTTGTGCAGAGTCTAGCAGACATAACTCTTACTAAAATATCCCCAACCCCTCATCCACCCTATTCAGATACATTACTTCTTTTAGAAAAACAAACAAAACAACTAAGCCAAGACATGTTAAAGAAGTTTGAAAAGAAAAAAAAAAAAAAACTGTAAAAATTCAACATGGGAGGATTGTTATGGTGAACCCCAAGATTCTCTTCAAAGAATCAGTATGTCAGCATGTTTAGCTCTCTTATTCTTTAATACTCTATTTTAAAGCTTAAGTTCCTTGTAATTCGAGTAAATAATCTTCTTCAGCGGTTCTAATCAGTAGTTCACATCTGCTCCCCTCGCCCCCAGTTCCATCCTGACTCATCTCGGTCACTTGATCACCCCTGGCTACCTGCTCTGACAAGCCCAAAACCATCCTTCTTGCCGAAACACCCACCCTGCCATTCCAGCTCCTACCCTATTTTATCTTTTAAAAATATTTTTTCCTATTTTATTGTTTTAAAATAGCCAATTGGGATTATTCTAGCTTGTGTGGTCTAACCCTAAACAATAGGGAATGACACAGCAGTAGGGACGACCCCCGTCAGCCGTAAGTACCTATTCCCCACTTGTCCAAGCATGTAGCCACCATTACTCCATCCATACGCTGCGCCCTTCTACGGAAGTAAACTGCCTTGCTGAGAGGACTTAAAAGAAAAAAATTCTTGAGGCTGAATGTGGTAGCTCACGCCTGTAACCATAACACTGTGGGAGGCTGAGGTAGGTGGATCACTTGAGGCCAGGAGTTCAAGACCTGCCTGGCCAACATGGTGAAACCCTGTCTCTACTAAAAATACAAAAAATTAGCCAGGTATGGTGGCACACACCTGTACTCCCAGCTACTCAGGAGGCTGAGGTGGGAGGATCACTTGAACCTGGGAGGCGGAGGTTGCAATGAGCTGAGATTGCAACACTACACTCCAGCCTGGGTGATAGAGCGAGGCTCCACCTCAAAAAACAAACAAACAAAAACTTGAACCAAAAAAAAAAAAAAAAAAAAAACTCATTCCTAGTACTAACTAGTTACATAGGCTAAAAGATCTTTTTACAAATATTGATTTTTTTCACCTTTAAAGAAAAGTTTTGGCTGAAAAATGCAATGTCAGAGCTGAATCACCACTCTATGAAATTAACAGACTGTATATTTTAAACAAGGAAAAACCATTCATAAGAAAGTACTGAACTACTCTAATCTGACTGTATTTAATGTTTTATTTAAAAAAAAAATAACTTTCAGGACATAGGTAAACATTTTCCATGGATTTGAAGAGGTTCTTCCATTTTTACAGTTAAACTATACTATATTTGATGAAAAATATTTTATGTCTGAAATGTAATTTGAAAATATGAGTGAGGACTTGTGAAGTTTAGTGGATAGTCTTCAGAAATATAAGAATTCTAATGTAACTCAACCAGTTAAAATGTATTCTTTGGTAATTTACACACTATAATACCTTACTAGGCTACACCATGGTTAAATCAGAGCAACATTTTTAAACTCTTGATTTTAAAAATAATTATACTGAACTATCCAAAGAGTTCATCTTCATTTTTTAAAAGTTCATAATTCTTAGCCTTCCTGACCTTTTGCAATTACTAGGTCTCCTAAAACAGAACCATACTTGGCATTATAGGTTTGGGAGGTCCTGTAAAACTTTTTCAGAAATAGTAGGGAATGGAGTAACTCTCACAAAGCACCATTCTTTTGGTATGTTTAAACAAAGAACTCCACAATTTTTTGAACCTTAATGTCTAAGCACCAAGCCACAAACTTCAGATCCAATATTCAGGAAACTACAACAGCTGTTTTGCTCAAGTCTTCAATAAACTTCAAGTTGTTGATGACACACATAGGCATAATCACAATTTGTGTTAGAATTAAGTACAGTCAATCAAAGTGCTATATTCTGACTCTTACCATGTTTGACGCATTCATATGCTGTATCAACTTAGAATCTGGAACAATAACTTGTGGTGCTGTGGCTACAAAAAAGCACACATGCAAACAAGGAACCATGAGGCTATTTTATAATCACAAGAATACTTTACATAACATGATAAAATTTTTTTTCATGTTTTCCACATTTTCTGTACTAAAATGCTTTCAATCATTTGATCTCAGGACGTTATAAATTCTATGACAAATAACAGCTGTGATGTACCTACTTAATAATTAAAAAATATTTAAGGCCAGATGTGGTGGCTCACACTTGTAATCACAACACTTTGGGAGACCAAGGTGGGTGGATCACCTGAGGTCAGGAATTTTTTGAAATCTACATAGTCCTTTTCTCCCAATATGACAGTTGACAGACTCATGCTACTTTCGTCAGCTGTTTAAAAACTACAAATCAGCCGGATGTGGGGGCATACACCTACAGTCCCAGCTACTCAGGAGGCTGAGGTGAGAGGATCACTTGAGCCCAGGAGTTCTGGGCTCTAGTGTGCTATGCTCATCAGATGTCCAACTAAGTTCGGCATCAATACGGCGACCTCTTAAAAGCAGGGGACCACCAGGTTGCCTGAGGAACGGTGAACCAGCCCAAGTTGGAAAAAATACAAATCAGAAATAATGGCAATGTTAAACGGAACGCAATGTTTGATTCTGCAAATTTCAGAGAACAGATGGATAATCCCATTATCCTAATACTCTCTGAGTGAAGAAAATCAAATTTTAATTTATGATGACCTAAAATCCTAATGCCAGGTCTGAAGGCAACAGGAGGAACAGTCATCAAAAAATATTAAAAGAACAAAAATTATTTGATACAAAGTATACATTAAAATCAGGTATGAAAAGTACTACTCTATGTCAACAGTAAAATAACCCAAATAGATGTTTCTACTATTCATCATTATTAATTTTAAGATACATATGTATACAGGCAAATGAGTAACTAAACGATACATTAAAATAAACTTTCCATTTACTTCTATAAAACCAGATGCACTGAATTAGAATGCTCAGCAAGTTTTATAACTAAATAAATGTTTGTCATGAGAGAAAATACAGAGCAAGTTTCTTAGCCTTTTCTGGGCTCAGATTTTCCTGAGCTGTGAAATTAAGCCAAGGGGTATTTTACAAAGCCCGCATAAGGTGCCAATAAAACAGTATCTATAAAATGACTTGCGGAGTATAAAGCACTATGGACATAGTCTATAAATAGCTACTCTTTTTTAAGACAGAGCCTTGCTCTTGTCAACCAGGCTGGAGTGCAGTGGCACAGTCTCAGCTTACCTCCGCCTCCTGGGTTCAAGTGATTCTCCTGCCTCAGCCTCCTGCGTAGCTGGGATTACGGATGTGTGCCACCATGCCCAGCTAATTTTTGTATTTTTAGTATAGACAGGGTTTCACCATGTTGGTCAGATTGGTCTCAAACTCCTGACCTCATGATCCAGCCTCCCAAGGTGCTGGGATTACAGGCATAAGTCACTGTGCCTGGCCAATATTTGCTTTTTCTTAGCTTTAAACCAAGTAATATAAATTAAGATATGTTATATATCCACTCTTAAAGCAAATCTAACTCAGTACATTTGGGCTTACATAAATTACTATGGAATTGAATTTTCAGATTGCCAAAATATACAAGACTCCAGAGTTTAAGATATATTTTAAAAACTAATCTGAAACATGTCTTTGAAAGAACATGTGTTCTAAAGAAAGCAAACAACTATTTTACCATATAAAATAATAAAGCCCTTAAGTCTAAAAAATAAACCTTTTAGATTTAACTTAATTTAGGAAATCCATCATTACACAGCCTTTTCAAAACAAAGTATTAATACAACTTCTCTGAATATCATCTTAAGCTTTCAGTTAATAAATTACTTGTCTACCATTACTCCACAGATGATAGAATCTATATTTTATACAAATTTATATACATTTACATACACACACCCCTCAGCCAAGAGAAAAGGGGAAAACGCCCAAAATCAACATAGGGTTTTTTGTTGCTGCTGTTTGTTTATTCTTAGGTTCTCCATGACCCCCTTAAAAAACAAGATCCAAGAAATGCAGAATATTTCTCTTCTTTCAAAACGACAAGCTTAATTTTCAAGTTGTAAGTAGGAAAACAAATCCAGTCTCACCTTGCTGTGATGCGGGAATAAGGACCTGCTGGGTCTGTGCTTGCTGAGGTACCGTCTGCTGAGGCTGAGCTTGCTGATGGTGGTGATGGTGGTGGTGCTGCTGCTGCTGGGGTTGATGCTGCTGTTGAACTTGTAGTAGGAGCTGCTGCTCTTCTGAATGAAATCCATCTACTGCCCTGGACTGCATTAGTTTATTTTCCCATAACTAAGGCAAAGAACATTAAAGATTCCTAAGTGGAAGATAAAATAACTTTGGACAGATGAACATAACAATTTTATTAATCTATTTATAAAATTATTCTATTTTAAAAACTGATACAGACACAAAAATACAACCAATCTATAATTCTAACCCAAGTGTAAACAATAGCAAAAACAAAATTTTAAAGCATCAAACCTTATTTTTGCCACATCAGAGTACTGGAGAATTTTGTTTCTTTTTATATTTTCTTTTATTATTATTTTTAAAAATTTATTTATTATACTTTAAGTTCTGGGGTACATGTGCAGAACGTGCAGGTTTGTTACACAGGTATACACATGCCATGGTGGTTTGCTGCATCCATCACCCCGTCATCTACATTAGGTATTTCTCCTAATGCTATCTCTCCCGTATCCCCCCCAGCCCTGCTATCCCTCCCCTAACCCCTCATCCAAACTTTCTATAGTAATTCCTTAATCATCAGCTAATATTGAGCAATGAGTTTCACATAAGTAAATTCTTTAGTAATCAAAGATTATCCTTTATAATATCAAAACCATTACTAAACTATTTTCATATACAACGTTTTCCTTATAAAAATACAAAATATAAAATGTTCTGCCTCAACATGTAGAACATAAATTCTTAAATAACATACAAATCATAAATTTCATTTAGAACAATGGAAACATAGAGGCAATTGCCTGAAGCAGAAAAGCCCAACTTTCCATCTGTCCAAACCTACACAAAGAAAAGGAACCAGCAATGCCCAAAGGTCATTGGTCGGTTATCCCAACTTTCCACACTTCTTGAAATTTCCTTCCTTCTTCCATTAAGCCAAGAACTGGCAATCCTTTTATGTTTAGCCATTTCTATTTTCTCATTTCACCTTAGGTTCTATGATGAGAAAAATCATAATGGACAAAAACAAAGAAAAGATGTTCAACGATTTCATTCTTCTACCTAACATTTCCTCTCTACCAGCTTTAGTGTTCAATCCGGAGCCTCAACCTGACAAGAAATTGCCCAAAAAGTGACAAACTATTCCCTGAAAATACATATGAAACTTCATTCAGTCATTCTGCACACAAAGATCTACATCTACTTTGTTTTGTCCTCCAGGATTTGCTTTTGGGATATTTCCTAATTGACCTGTGGCTTCTATCAGATCCTTCCAGAAGTTCCCTTTGCCATACTCACAGAAAGTTTTTTTTATTTTATTTTATTTTTAATTTCAGAAACAGAGACAAGGTCTCATTATGTTGCCCAGGCTGGTCTTGAACTCCTGGGCTCAAGCAATCTGCCCACCTCAGCTTGCCAAAAAGCTGAGATTACAGGTGTGAGCCACCATGCCTGGTCATACTCATAAGAGATTTTTTATAATCTCCTGACCTTTCCAATCATTCCAGACATTCTAGATTTGTTGTCTTGATGCTAGTTAACAATTCCACTAAATCTCTAATGTCTTATTGAAAAAGCATATGTTAAGGTCAATTTCCTAGAAAATCCTACTGGCAGGCCCAGTATTTAGACTTACCTGAAGTCTATTCTTAAATGGTAACAATATCTATCTCACTGGTTGCTGAGAGGATTAAATGACATATCCATGTAAAACAATTATCAAAGTCTTACATAAAGTTAGTGATCAAAATATATTATTATCGGTGGCAACGGTGGTAGCATTAACTGTTTAACAGAGCCTTATACCAGAAGTCAGGAACCCAGTTAGTCCTGGTTTGGTCATTTACGTAACCAAATCATTTATCTTTCCTAGGCATCTTCTTCAGCTAAAAGGGGAACCAACTGAATTAAAGTACTTCTAAACTCACTTCCAGTGAATAAATTTAAGTCTAATCGCAGACGAAAGACAGCAAGCTTCTTCCCGTAGTAACAAGAACTACTTTTTGAGAGCCCATGTTGTGTCTGATTCATCTCTGTAAAGTGGGCAACTAGCACAGCACACCATCAAAATAGATACTCATATGCTAAATAAAACACATTATGACTAATGTATTATATATAGTAAGGCTTCCAAACACTCCGTTATCACCCAAAACTTCTACATCTTCTCCTCTCTTCCAAAACAAAGCAAACCCTAGTTTCTTGAAAGCCAAAAATCAAGGTGAAAAAAAAAGTTCTATTGATTAATGCTTTGTTTAAAAAGTTTTTTAAATCATAATTTCTAAATTTTATGTTTCACAGTTATCACCTCCAACCAGTTTACCCACAGCAATCTGGACCCATTACGTACCTCAAAGAAGCTCCTATGATAATGGCAAATATTAATGAATACACATCATGTGTGGCTAAGTACTGGGCACCATGACTCACCTACAGTCTCATGTAAATGACCTAGGAATCAAAATCCACCCCAACAGCCCACCATTACTGTCTACTCTGATTCACTTTTTCAACACATCTCTATCGTACAGCCCTGGTCCTTTCTGCCTAGCAGTACTGCAAACAGTAGTGATGTAGTGACTGAGCTCTTGAGTTTCCTGCATCGAGTCATGCAGTCCACAAATAATTATGTCCTATATGCCAAATACCGTTATAGGGATTGAGAAGATACAGTAAACAAACCTCACAAAAATCCTCAACCTTACAGAGCAGACATTCCAGTGGAAGCTTGCCCTTCCAATCCATCCTCTATAAACCAGTGATCCTCAAAATGCGGTTGTAGACCCAACATCAGCATCACCTGGGTACTTGTTAAAAATACTGAATCAGCAGCTCTGGGGGTAAAACCAGCAATTTAGTTTAACAAACTGTTCGATGTATGCTAAAGTGAGAACTGCTTTAAAATGTAAACCAGTGCTTTTCAAACTGAGGACTGCAGCCCACTAGTGACTCATAAAGAAGTCAATTTAGAATTTTCTTTGTAAACCTCTCTCCTTTCTCTCCCCCTCCATCTCTTTCTCTGTCCCTTTGTTCCCTTCCTCCCTCCCTCTCTCCCCTACCAATGTTTTTTATAAACAAAATACAACTGAAAGAAAATGTCAGACTGTACTGCGCTAAGAACAGTTCTGCAGATTTTCCTTATACACACACACTTGCGCATATATTTATTCAAAATGTTAAATACCATTAATTCTTAAGGAGGGTCCTAGGCAAGAAGTTTGAAAAACACTGTTCTACACTGTTATCAAGGTGAATTTTTTTAAAATTATAAATATGACATCCTCTGCTTAAAAACTGGCACCACGGCTAAGTAATCATCTATCTATCTATCTATCTACCTACCTACCTACCTACCTACCTATCTACCTACCTACCTACCTACCTATCTACCTACTTACTTACTTACTTACCTGATATGGTTTGGCTGTGTTCCCCACTGAAATCTCAACTTGAATTTTATCTCCCAGAGTTTCCACTTGCTGTAGGAGGGACCCAGGGGGAGGTAACCAAATCATGGGGGCCAGTTTTTCCGGTGACATTCTCGTGATAGTGAATAAGTCTTACGAGATCTGACGGGTTTATCAGGGGTTTTCGCTTTTGCTTCTTCCTCATTTTCTCTTGCTGCCAATATGTAAGAAGAGCCTTTTGCCTCCCACCATGATTCTGAGGCCTCCCCAGCCATGTGGAACTGTAAGTCCAATTAAACCTTTTTTTGTTCCCAGTTTTGGGTATTATGTCTTTAACAGTAGTGTGAAAACAAACTAATATAGTAAATGGAGTAGGGCATTGCTGAAAAGATACCTGAAAATGTGGAAGCGACTTTGGAACTGCGTAACAGGCAGAGGTTTGAACGGTCTGGAGGGTTCAGAAGAAGACAGGACAATGTGGGAGAAAGTTTGGAACTTCCTAGAGACTTGTTAAATGGCTTTGATGGAAATGCTGATAGTGATATGAAGAGTAAGGTCCAGGCTGAGATGGTCTCCAATGAAGATGTGGAACTTGTTAGGAACTAGAGCAAAGGTGACCCTTACTATGTTTTAGCAGGGACTGGTAGCATTTTGCCCGTCCTAGAGATTTGTCAAACTCTGAACTTGAGAGGCATGATTTAGGGTATCTGGCAGAAGAAACTTCTAAGCAGCAAAGCCTTCAAAAGGTGAGTTGGGTGCTATTCCGTTTTAAAACAGAAATACAGCATAGAGTTCAGAAAATTTGCACCCTGATGATGCAGTAGAAAAGAAAAAGCCATTTTTTGAGGAAAAATTCAAGCAGGCTGGGGAAATTTGCATAAGTAGCAAATGTTAATCCCCAAGACCATGGGGCAAATGTCTCCAGGCCATGTCAGAGACCTTCATGGCAGCCCCTTCCATCACAAGCCCCGAGGCCCAGGAGGAAAAAGTGGTTTCATTGGCCAGGCCCAGTGTCCCCATGCTGTGTGCAGCCTAGGGACTTGGTGCCTGGTGTCCCAGCCGCTCCAGCTGAAAGGGGCCAATGTAGAGCTCAGGCTGTGGCTTTAGAAGGTGGAAGCCCCAAGCCTTGGCAGCTTCCATGTGGTGTTGACCTTGTGGGTGCACAAAAGTCAAGAATTGAGGTTTGGGAACCTCCAAATAGATTTCAGAAGATGTACAGAAATGCGTGGACATCCAGCCAAAAGTTTGCTACAGGGTAAAGCCCTCATGGAGAAGAGAGAAATGTGGGGTCAAAGCCTCCACACCGAGTCCCTATAGGGGCACTGCCTAGTGGAGCTGTGAGAAGAGGGCCACAGTCCTCTAGATTCCAGAATGGCAGACCCACCGACAGCTTGCACTGTGCTCCTGGAAGAGCCGCACTCAATGCCAGCCTGTGAAAGCAGCCAGGAGAGAGACTGTACCCTGCAAAGCCACAGGGGCAGAGTTGCCCAAGACCATGGGAACCCACCTCTTCCATCAGCCTGACCTGGCTGTGAGACCTGGAATTAAAGGAGATTGTACTGGAGTTTTAAGATATGACTGCCCCACTGGCTTTCAGACTTGCATGGGCCTTGTAACCCCTTTGTTTTGGGGCCAATTTCTCCCATTTGGAATGGCTGTATTTACCCAATACCTGTACCACCACTATAGCTAGGA